ACATCAGCCCATCAAGCGTGAAAGTCCCTACTATGCAGCAAGGGGACCACGGAGCGTGGCGGATGGTGAAGAGCATGGATTTTGGGTCAGATTCTGTGTTACCTCAGGCTGCCATAACAAATACCACAGGCAGGGTGGCTGAAACCTCAGGCGTTTATGTTCTCCTCGTTCTGAAGGCTGGAGGCCCAAGATCGAGGTGCCTCCACAGTTCATTTCTGGTGAGGACTCCCTTTCTGGCTTGTGGATGGCCACCTTCTCGACAAGTCCTCACACGGACCCCTCCCCGTGTGTGTCGTGAAGAGAGAAAGACCTCCGGTGTCTCTTCCTCTTGTTAAAAGGATACCAGTCTAATTGGATTGGGTCCTCACCCTATGACTTCCTTTAACCTTAATTACCTCCTTAAGGCGCTCTCTGCATATAATCACGCTGGAATTAGGGCTTCAACATACAGATCTGGGGGGTGGACACAGTTCAGTCCATAACAGATTCTAAGCCCTATCATTTCTCAATTGCGAAACTACATCCTTACGCAATTTACGAATCTCTCTAAATCTGAGTGTTTCCCTCTGTAAATATAGTCACCGATATGGTGCGGTAATACACACACAATGCCTGCCACGCAGTGATCCAGCGTCGGTAGCCACTATTTTCTCCAGGGGACGTATTGGTAGGTTATCACTCTCGGACTGTTGTGCATTTCAGAGCTCGGGTCGCTGGACCCACAGCAATCCCCACCAACTGCCTCCTGCCCTTATTCTGTTATCCCCGTCGCCTGACTTACAAAAACAGTGGCCATGAGCTGTGACCACAGTTCCGAGATGGCCTCCCAGACAGGAGTGCTCCTCCTCCCAAAGATGGTTTGTCCCTGTGCAGCCACGACAATGTTTGGCGTTCAGGTGCCCACGTGAAGATGAAGCCCCACCCGTGAAGGTTGCTCCGTGACAGTAAGTGTTTAGGGGGAAGGGGAAGCGTTTACTTGAACAGCGTCGCAGAAACCGAACGGTAATTTCCTCATGTGACAAATAGGCGGGGCGACCCCCTTTGGAGGGACTACTTCTTTCCTCAGAGCTGGTTCCCAGGGGAACATGGCCACACCTTCTGTGACCCGCGGAGGAGGAGTCTTTTCTTGAGAGAGACGCAGCAGGGCTAGCTTGCTGCCATTAGGAATTTTCTTTGCGGAGGCTTCCAGGATGCAACTGGTCTCAGAAGGCGGTGGGTCCCCTGTGCTGTGGCCTCTCGTGGGGGGTGATCAGGAAACAGGCCACCGAGTCACACATTTTCCTGCTGCCCAGGACACTGGAGATCTGTCACTCCAATGGTAGGACAGGAAACGTGAGACGGCTGAGTCCCTTAGACCCTGGTTTCATAGTCTAATGGTTTGAATGAAAGACGGATTCCTAGATACCCCAGATCCTGGGAGAGAAGATGTCCCTGCTTAGGAATCTCTGGGGAGCACAACGATGGCTGATTTGGGGACAGGATTTCATAGGGGAGGGGCTAGGAGCAGGGCCCACCCCTTCCCTGCAGTCCACGGCACCAGCAACCCACAGGGAAGCACGCCGTGTCCGCCAAGATGCGTCAAGATTCTATCACTGTTTGCGTTAGAAATAAGCAGCTAAGTTTCCCGGTAATTGTCACCATCTGCACCCACGAGGGAGGAAAAACTCATGTGAGCACAGTTTCTAAAAAAACAGTAGTATTCTTGAGAGAAAAGAGGGCAAAAAAGGCTTAACGTATAATTTGTGTCTACTAGAAGAAAAAGGAAGAAAAAAAAAACACATACACCTGACCCCTCGCCACCCTTTCTCGGGATGGGAGGTTCACGTCCGGAACCTCACACGCTGGGGCTTCGTAAGGCACCCCTGCATCCCCGTTTCCTGGAATCCACTGAAAGAAACTGGCAAACCGGCCAAGATATTTGCCTGAGGTTTGCTAAGAAAACATATTCTCCGTTTGAGTTGTTTTCTGAGGGGAGGGTCGGAGATGTGGTTTAAGTAAGAAAATCGCTCGTGGACAGTTATGGAAATAATGACTCTTCACTGCCCCGCATGTCTGGCTACAGTTACAGGAAGCAAAGTGGAACCGTGTTTTCAAATTACCTGGGGGGCGCGGGCAGGGAGAACAAGCCAGTGAGCAGGCCAGAGCCGAGGAAACATCATTCTGTGTCAGTTATCAGGATAACTCCACAGCCGAAGCATGCTGTGGTTAGTTACTCTTAAGTGGGAGGTGGGAAGGTTCTGGTTTCTGGAGACTGGCCAGACTTCGAGATGAAATAAGAGAATCTATTTCGTCTGATTTGCTGCCCACACTCCCTGGAGACGAACGTAGCTCGGGTCTCTGACGTCTACCCACCGTGAACCCCCAAGGACTTATTGTCATGCTCTTTTAATAAGGTCAGTCTATTACATGTCAACCAAGCTGTCTGACGTGAAGATGCTTCTAGGCGGTTATCGCGCATAGTATTAAGGCACGGACGGTTTCCTTAGCTCTGAATCAACCCGTTAAGGAATAACAACGCCTTGAAAATGCAGGCAATTTTAGTTGTTCGACCATCACCCTTAGTGTTTTCTTTCCGACGTGTCTTTGTGGTTCCCGTGTGGTGTCCTGGGTCTGTTACGCTCTATTTGGAGGATAAACTAAGGGCATCTTACATGCGCTTTTATATTCTGGGTTAAAAACTCAAAAATTTTACCTATCTTCACTAATCAGTGGAAGATCCTAAGACCCTGGAGATCATGAAGCTCCAATAGTCAAGACGGGTCATTCAATACATAAGCCTTGGTCAATAATGCATCCAGGGGCGCCAGGGTGGCTCAGTCGGTTGAGCGACCAACTCTGGCTCAGGTCACGATCTCCCGGTCCGTGAGTTCGAGCCCCGCGTCGGGCTCTGTGCTGACAGCTCGGAGCCTGGAGCCTGCTTGGGATTCTGTGTCTCTCTCGCTCTCTGCCCCTCCCCCACTCACGCTCTGTCTGTCTCTCTCTCTCAAAAATTAAAAAAAAAAAAAAAACTTAAAAGCAATTAAAAAAGAAAAAGACCGTCAGACTCTTTCAGCACAAGCTTGGCCCTCTAAAAAAACTAAATAATGCATTCATTCTGCCAACCTATCGACAGGTACTTCCTAGCTGCAGGATGCCGCGTGCTGGGCGAGGGTTTGGGCCTGGCAAGGTGAATCAGATCCCCTGAATACAAAGAGCTTTCCAGCCACAGAGCAGCATCCACAGGAAGTCAGAGAAGGGGGCCTCTTGCAGAAATCCCCAGAGAGGGGGAATACTGATGTTGGTCCCGGAAGGATGAGGAAGACCTTGGCAGGGAAGGTGTTCAGGGCAGGAAAGCTCTCGGTAGATGATTTTCCAAGGATGAGCAAGTCAGGAAAACCGAGCGGCTGAAAACAGACTTGCCTGGAAGGGGCAGAATGGAGAGGCAGGTGAGTGGCTGGCAAAATACAGCAGGTCTCCCTAAGACAGGAAGTTGGGCTTTTTTGCAGTAGCTGGGCACCACGAAAAACATGTGTGAGTGGGGGCAGAAAAACTAGTGGGCATGTTCAGGGCAAAGGAGGGAGGGGTGGCTACGATGAACATGCTTTAGACCCAGGATCCAAACATCTGAACTTAGTCCTGGCCTGCACTTGGGGGCTGTACGCAAGATTTAATTTATCTGGCCTCGGTTCCTCTAGAGTGGGGAAGGGGGGGGGAGGGGCAGAGGCTGGCCTCTCCGACCACCCTGCACAGCAGCCCCTCCTGCAGGTTTGCTGAGACACTGCAGGAGCGACAGCTTGACAAGCTTGGAAGGAGAAACTTGTACAGCTGGACGTGACCTTGGTGATGGTGGCTCTTAAATGAGAGTGTAGGTCAGAATCACCCGGGCTGCGTGTCAACAGATGGGTCAGCTCCAGGGTCACCCGCCCCTGGAGATTCAGGCACACTCAGGGCTACCTTTGTCCCTGCACAACACTCCACGGGATGCTAATTTCCCAGTTTTGTCCAACCCTCTCAGATCGGGGAGTCAGAAGCCTGTCAGGGCCGAGTTGGTGCCCAGCCGAAAAGGGACACCTGTCACCTCTCCCCACCCCCGTCTAATGAGGGGACTCCCAACAAGACGGCTGTCCGTTTTCTTCTCTCCCTTTCCACTCGCCTCAGCCCGTCTCCCAGAGCCTGTAAGAGGGTGTTGAGTTCCAAAGATCCCCAGACCCAAGATGCAAAGCTGCAGCTCCCAGAGTAGCTGGTCTGAGGGGCCCGGGGCCCAGGGCCCGGCTGTCCTGGTCAGCTGGCCGGGCCTCATGGCAGTCGTCAGCAGCCCCTGCTGGGCCGTCACCACAGCAAGACCCCAAGACCATTAGGTCAGGCACATCACTTGATCCTTGACGCCCCCTCATGCCTTTCTGTCCAAAGCATCACACGGCAGCAACATCTGGAAGCTTGCCAGAAACGCAGAATCACGGGCTCACCCCAGATGCTAGCAAGGATCGGAAGTGATTTACCTGTGAGCCCATTAACATTGGAGAAGCTGTGGCGGGGGTGGGGGGGGTGGGGGGGCACTTGGGGGGCTCAGTCGGTTAAGCGCCAGACTCGTGATCTTGGCTCAGGTCACTATCTCACGGGGCCTGAGATCGAGCCCCGGGTCTGCCTCTGTGCTGACACTGTGGAGCCCGCTTGGGATTCTCTGTCTCCCCCTCTCTCTGCCCTCCTGCCCACCACCCAAATAAATAAATATTTAAAAAAAAATTTTTTTTTGAGAAGCTCTGGTCTCTGCCTCCTGGGCTGGCTCTGAGTGGTCCTCTCCCACCCCACGCTCAGAGTAAAGTAGGAAGGGAAGGGAGGGGAGGGGGGAGGAGGGAGGGCAGAGGCAAGAGGAGGAAAGGAGAAGAAAGGGAAGGAGGAAGTTGGTTGGTCTGTTGGGAGGGATGACTGGAAGCAGGGGGGAGAGGGGGAGGGGGAGAGAGAGAGGGGAAAGGGGGAGAGGGAGAGAGGGGGAGAATTTTGACGCCTGGCTTACCGCAGTCACGTGACACACGGGTTCTTCTTTCCCCTTTCCCCCCAGGTCAGCTTTGATGACGTAAACTAGGACCAGAGCCTGGGGAATGTAAGAAGCTTGACACCGAAGGCCTCTTCCGTTCGCCTCCCACGTCCAAAAAATGGCGGCCTCGTCCGTTCCTGTAAGAGCTGGGAGCTCAGCGGATCGCGCGTGGTTCGCGGTCACACCGCGGTCTGGAGCCGGAACACCATGCAACTAACAGAAACCCTCCCGTGCTCGGCTCGGCTTCCACCTTTCAGGGGAAAACAAGTACTGGGAACACAAATTCGCACCTGGGATTAATCCTTCCCTCTTTCTGTAACACTCAGAGCGCCGCCGGGGCTGGGGGCTGGGCACAGGCACCTTTGCCCTGTGCTCAGTGCTCCGAGGGGGTTGGGGGGGTCGGTGGCGGCGGGGTGGTGGGAAGGGACTTGGCCGGGACGGCAGGGTCTCCAGGCGCCAGGCCGCGTCATCCTGGCTGCTGCCTACCCCTGGGCTTGATTTCTTGGCCCACGCACTGGGGATTAAAATCCTAGAGCCTCTTCAGTAGAGTCGTCGTTGCGAAGATTAGGACTTTGGGGGACTGCTCACCTGGCAGCCGCTCGACAGGACCCGGCGCCTTTCTGAACTCGTGCACGCAGTTGTCTTTGCACGAGGCCAAGGGCACCCCGGGCTGGCCCCAAGGCCTGAGACCTTGGCTCTGCTAGGAGGGCTTTGATGACGCCCCTCTCCGGGTCTAACACCTGCAGGCGCCGGGGGTGCTCCCCCCCCCCCGGGGGATCCCAGCAAAAGTTTTCCTGCTCTCAAGCGACCCCAGGAACCAACCGCGAACGTCAGCATTTCAGGGGGGCCTGGAGAGCCGCAGCCCTTAGCCTCTTCCCTTTTAGGAAACACAGCGCCACCTCTTGGACGAGAGCCGCACTGACTCGGCTGGGCTGTTGCTGTGATTCCCTCACCCGAACCCTCTTCCCGGAGAACCGGTCTTCGCTATTTCCTTGTAAGGGCCTGGCGGACACGTTTATCCCCCTCTCTTCCACCCCAACCGCTCCTGCCTAGTTTCTCTGGGTCTTTGACCGGTACCTTCGAGGGAGTTTTCGTCCTCGTTTCTAATTTTATAGCTCAGTTCAAAGCTTCAAAGGCTGATTCTCTAGGAGGATTATGTTCAGCCCCGTAACACGAAGGGTTTCTCCTTCCTACACCTTAGCAGCGGCGGGCGGGGGGAGCAGAGCAGTCAACGTCCTGCCCTCTGCTGCCAGGCTGCCTGTGTCCCGATCCCTCTCCAGCCGTGTGACCTTGGGCAAGCTACTTAACCTCTCTGTGCCGCCGTTTCCTCATCCGGAAAACAAAGCCGCCGGCAGAAGCCAACACCGACGCTTGTGGTGGCATTAGGTGAGTCAGTGCCTGTGAAGCACTTAGAAGAGGCCCGTGGCGGACCGAGAACTGAGTGTTTGCCACCGAGGGGTTTCAGGGGCCGCGTTCCCTCCTACGACGCTTACCAGGCGGGAATATGGTTTCGCTTGACCTGTCGGGTCACCCACCAGGCCAGTGTTGGTGCAGAAGGCGCTATGAAAGCAGTTAGGGCCACGCTCGGGAAGGCATATTGGTAACACACAGACTCGGTGATTTGCAGCCTCAGTTTTAGAAGCGCCGCACCCACTGTGAGCCCCCCGGGGCCGTGACTGTCGGGGGGGGGGGGCCCCCGTGTAGAGGGAGCACCTACCTGGCCCTCCAGACACAAGCGCTCAGCTCATGTGTGCTTCCTTCGCCAGCTCCTTTAAGAAATGTTTAGTATAACAGGACATTTCAGGGCAACTGGCACTCAGAACACTCTCTTCCTTTTGCTCCAGTAAGAACGCACATGCGCACGTTTTCCCTATGAAGGCCGAGCCGTTTTTCGTGCGCCGTATCGGAGAAGGAGATGAAATAATAAACGGGTCTTTCCCAACCCAACTCAGTGGGGTGAGTGGCTGGCAAGGGTGATGGGGAGTCTGGCTCTGAACCTCACGATGTTTTACAGCAAAGGAATGTCTCCCTGTGGCGTCAAGCACCACACGTGGACTTGTTCTCCAAACGGCAGCACATCCGACCGAGGGGCGGAGGAAGCAGAACCCCCCCTTCACAGACTCTGCTGGGGCCGGGACACGTACTGCACCGCGCGTGCGACCGACTCGGGCGGTCACAACCGGGGATCACGCCTGTGTGCTCTGACCCTGGATCCACCAGGAAGGCACTTCTCTGCTGCTTCTCGGGAAACACGACCCTGACCGTGGCCCCCGGCACCTGACGCCTCCCTCTTGTGATGCGGGATCACACACAGCCCCCATGCCGGACGGATTCGAATGCACACCCAGGGATCACGCCCGTGTCGGGGAAGTCAAAGCCGGGACAGAGTCTGTAGGAGGCTCCCAGTTTCCATGACTCTTGTGCCCGGACCCCGGGGGCCACCAGGGGGTCTGCTGGCCCAGAGCTCCCAGCGCTGGCTCTTCTCGGGGGACCCGCTCCAAATTCTGGAAAGGACGGTTCCGGGGCATCAGCCCATGACACACACAGACAGGTGGACACGCACATGTGGACACGCACAGAAACTCACAACACACAACATACATACACACACGCACACAGGGAAACTCAACACACACACACAGGCACAGAGGGACTCAGACACACACAGAGACAATACACACATGGGCACACACAGACACAACAGACACAGCACGCACACACAACTCACACACACACGGACATTCAAAAAGGGCAGTGTGTGTCCACAGGCTCCATCCCAAGTGTCCCCCCAGGCCCTGCCCAGGCTGGCGGGGGCACCTGCACGCAGCACTCCGGCCTCTGCAGATCTTGCGTTTTCCAGAGTTGGGAACAAACCCTGGGCTCCCTGATGAGCCCCGATGGCCGGGCCACCCACCAAACTTCTGCCCCTGGTCTAAAACAGACCCAACAGACCCGAGCTGTCACGTGAGGACAGATGAACATGGGGAGGGGAGAGAGGCAGTCTGTCGGAAGCAAGAGCTTGGACATGAATTCCTTTGGTAAACTGCTTACATCCTGGTGAAGCCCCGGGTTTGTCACAAGGACCCCTGGGGACGAGACAGATTTCCAGGGCTTCCAGGTGTCTCCCTCTTCACAGGGCAGCTGTGGGCAGGAGGGACAGACGTCTTGACGCACGCGCGCTGGCCGTTGCAGGTCAGCAGACCTGTTTCCCCGAGGCCAGGGGACCAATCGGGATGTTTGGGGTTGAAGGCGGGAGGCTTCGGTGGAGGAAGTGTCCCTGGGGCCGGTGCGGTGATGTAGGCGTCCAGAGGGGTGCCCGTGGGGTCCTGAGCCGGGTGGCGCGGGCTGGGGCTGCAGGGCCGGGGCCTGGAGCTGCGGGAGCTGCCGCTGACCTGGGCCCCGGGGGGGACGCAGGCCAGAGGGAGCGCGCCTGCTGGGAAGGAGGCTTAGGCAGGCCGCGCTCCGGTTCCCGCAAGAGGGAGCCCTGCGGCCGGGGGATGGCCACGAGAGCCCCTTGCCCGGTGTCTCCCCCGTGTCCCCTAAGTCGGATCGTGTGACTGGCGCCCGCTTCAAGCTCTGCTGCCGGGTCTAATCCCCACCGCGGCAGGTGCACGGCCCACGACCTCAGGGCCTCCTCCTCCGATGATACGTTAGGCCCAACCTCTGGAAAACAGGGCCAATATTACACGGTTTTCCTAAGAACCTGTAGGGTATATTTTCAGCCAGGCTATACATTCGATGAACATTTAGAGTCTGACTCTATAATTCATTACATTTATAACTGAGGCTCCCTCTGTCCCCAGACCCAGGACAGCTGCGCCTCAGCTTAAACGTCCACAAAAAGGAGCTTTGGTGCTTCGGGAGCGTCGGGAGATGACCCAACAACTGGCTTCTACGTTCCGGAGGGACAAGTGAAGCCTCAAAGAGAAAGCGTTCCAAGTTAGGAAGGCAAAGGAGGCAGGACTCGGCCTTGGTCCCCTGCGGAAGCGGCGACGCACGTGGCTCCAGCGCCCCCTGGTGGCACGACGGGGTTGGCCCGGCGCTGCGGAGCCCAGCGGCAGGTGCCGGGGCGCAGTAGGGAGAGAGGGACACACAGACACACAGGTGGACACATGCAGACACACACAGACACACAACGGTCCAGACAAGATACATACACGTGGACACGTGGAGACACACACACAAACACAGTAACATAGACACAGATACACGCATCTGGACACACACACAAAGACACGTGAAAACACACAGACATGCACACAGGGATACATACGGGGATACATACAGACACACACACACACACACACATTCAGAAAGAGAAGTGTGTGTGCCCACAGGCTTAATCCTGTCTCTCCCCAGGCCCCGCCCAGGCTCTCAGCTGGGGGACGCGGGGTGGGGGGCGGTGAGCCCAGCACACTGTCCACCCCCAGATCTTGGTGCATTCTAGAGCGCAGGAGAAACGTTACACTGATGAGCCCTGATGGCCAACGTGCCTCATCAAGGTCCTGGCCTGGTCTAAAATAAAGAGTCCCTTTTCTGCCAACCTCAGATCAGGATGGGGGGCAGGGGGACAGTCCCACGAGGGGGACGTGGGGGTGGACGCTCCCACTGTGAGCCAGGGCGGCTGATGGTTCACATTCCCATCTCTGCCCGCCCAGCCCTTATCAGTGGCCACGACAGAAGCTCCCGGGGACAGGTCACCCCCCACATTCCTATAGTGCTTCCTGCCAAAGGCCGGGAGCGGCTGGGCTGGTAAGTCCCCTTGTAGGGGAGCGATGACAGTCCACCCCTCACCTAGCCTGGTTCACCCTGTGGGAGCTGATGTGGACGAAGTTTCAAGAGGCCAGGGAAGGACAGGATCTAGAAAAGATAAAGGGAAACAGACAAACAGCAAGCAGCAAGTGCCACACGTCTGATCGTCCTGACAGCTGCAGGGAAGGACGCTGGTCTCATCTGGCAGGAAGCCTCGGCGCTCAGGCCTGGGTGTGAATCTCGTATTTCTGAGCTGTGTGACCTTGGGCAGGCCGCCTCACCTCTCTGAGTCCCAGCTTCCTCCTCCACAAAATGAAGATTGTAAGAGTGCCTGACTCCTCATGGAGAGCCGATGGGCCAGCAGGATGTGTTTACCCGAGTAACAGCAGGCTTTCCTTTGGCAGCCCACCCTGCCGACCACACGTGGAACAGACGTGGAGCGGAACAGACTTCCCCCGGAAAGGAATGTGGGCCTTGCCTTGTCACTCGAAGGGAGACAGGAGGCGGAGCCGCATAACACACAACCCAGCTAAATACACCTAAACATCTTCAAAGCCTTTAACCCGCTTATCTTGCTAAAGTCCACAGAGCAGGCAGCCCCAACCTCTCCTCTCTCTCCAGCGTTGCTTCACAAATACTTTCCTTTCCACGCGCTCTCAGCCCCCCTCCCCTCCCGGTTCTTAGCCTTCCCTGTCCATTCAGTGCACCCGAAAAACTTGTAAAGGGACCAGCCCCCGGATCCCACCTCAGATGGGGGCAATTGGAATTTCCGGAAGCTGGGTCTGGGTATCAGGAGTTTTTAGATGCCCCGAGGTGATGTCAAACGTATGTAGGGTTGAAATCCTTACTACAAATATTTTCAAAACTGCTCCTTTGAAACACGCATCCATTTACCACTTCTGGCCTCTGCTGATTCTCCTCCGGGTGTCCAAGGTTACTGATGGCAGTGTTACTTGGGTAACCAACAGGTTGGCAAAAGTCAAAAATTCCTTAATAGAGAAGTCACGTAAAATATCGTACGTCCAAGCCTTGGAATATCATGCTGCTATGAAAACAAACCAGGAAGCTTTCATGGAAACGGAATGCCTCTGGGATACATTTTTTTAAATGTTTATTTATTTTTAAGAGAGGGAGAGGGAGATTGAGAGGGGCAGAGAGAGGGGGGACAGAGGATCCAAAGTGGGCTCTGTGCTGACAGCAGTGAGCCGGATGCGGGGCTCAAACTCACAAACCACGAGATCATGACCTGAGCCAAAGTCGGATGCTTAACGTACTGAGCCACCCAAGTGCCCCTCTGGGATGCATTTTTAAGTGGAAAAGGCAGAACACACAGCAGTGTAAAGGGAATGTATTCTGCTATATTTCATATAAAAGGTAAAGGAAGATAGAATTTTATATTCATGGTTTTTTGATTTTAAGAAAATACACAAGGGGTGCCTGGGTGGCCCAGTGGGCTAAGCGTCCAACTTCGGCTCAGGTCATGATTTCACTACTCCTGAGTTCAAGTCCCACGTTGGGCTCTGCGCTGACAGCTCGGAGCCTGGAGCCTGCATCGCATTATGTGTCTCCCTCTCTTTCTCTGCCCCTCCCCTGCTCACACTCTGTCTCTCATTCTCTCAAAAATAAATAAACATTAAAAAAAAATTTTTAAATAAAATAAAGTAATAATGTTTTTAAATGAAAGGTTGGAAATTAGGAGGTCGGCCTCTGTAACAGTTGCCTTTAATATTTCAGGGAGATGGCAAACTTCAGGGATTTGATGAAAGAAACGGACCATCTCACCAGAAAAATTTATAAATGCAAGGGATTTTGCTAATGCAATTTAGAGGTTACCCAGCCCCAGCTATGGATCTCCGCTCTATGGAAAAGTCCGGAAATCATCTGCACTTTCCGAGAGCTTTCCTGACCTGGCATGAAGTGGGCCCGGTGCAGACCTGCACCTGTGGGAACAGCAGCGTGTGCCCTGGGGGGAGGGATCTCGCGATAGCTCTGCCCTGGCAGTTCCCTCACTACCCTTTGGGTAACAGCTCCTCCCCGCCCCCATCAAAGATCGGAGTGTGAACCAACCCTACTTTTAGGGCACATGGCTCAGACTGGCCTCTCTCCGGCAGCAGTGATGGGTTTGGGGGTGGACGTGTGACCGAAGTCAGGGAATAATTCCAGTTAGTCCTCTTGTAAATATTGGAAAAAAGAAGTGCTTTCAAAAAAAAATTAATGTTTATTGATTTATTTTTGAGAGAGAGAGAGAGACAGACAGACAGAAAGAGAGCAAGTGAGGGAGGGGCAGAGAGAGAGGGAGACACAGAATCCGAATCAGCACAGGGCCCAACGTGGGACCTGAACTCATGAACTATGAGATCATGACCTGAGCCAAAGTCGGACACTTAACCGACTGAGCCACCCAGGTGCCCCAAGAAGTGCTCTTCCTTTGGAGTGGCTGAAAGGCCGTGACGCAAGCCAGTGAGTCTTAACCAGGGACGACTTTGTCTCTCGTGGGCTCACCGGAAATATGTCTACAGATCTTGTTGGGGCTAAGGGGCAGCATGACTGGCATCTGGTGGGGAGAGGCCAAGGATCCTGCTGACCACCTACAGTGCACATGACGGCCCCCACACCAAAGAATTTTTTGTCCCAAAATATCAATGGTAGTGGAGCTTAGAGATCTGGAAGCCCGGAGTTTGGTTTGGGCAACTACCTTGATAGGATGTAAAATGAGCCCACCCGACACTGAGGCCGACGGAGAGGGTGCATCCCTGCCTGAAGTCTACCCCCGAACTTTCCAAATCAGCATCATCTACAAGTAAAAAGGTCCTTACTGCGTTCCCCTGCCCTGGGCCAGGACTCTCCTTCAGGGAGGCCGTAGCCGGGATGATGATGGAAATCCAGAATGTAGACGAGGACACTAGGGAGAGGAAACAGCCCAGGGGCTGCGGGACTGGGCAGGGAGGCCTCCCTGAGAGCTGCAGAACAAGAAGCCTGCTTTGCGGACGAGGTCACGGGCGTATGTGGCACAATAAGGAAGGCGGCAGGCAGGGCCAAATCACCCAGAGCCTTGCAGGCCTGATGGGAAGTCTTGAGTTGTACTCTGGGCCTGATAAGAAGCTTCTAGAACTAAAAGTCCTGTGCGGCTCCCTTGTGCAAAAGAACTCCGTCTGTATCCCTTACAGTCCGTTATATGTGAAAATAAGAGGTATTCAGTACACCGTATTCAGTTTTCCTTAAAAAGTGTAGCTACAGCCATGTCGGTAAATCCTTTCCAGGTCTTTGTGAGGCCCAAGCCCAGAACCCCTCAAGGACTGCCATTCAGGTTGCCGGACAGGAGTGTTTCTGGCGTCCACACGGACAAGATGCGGGGTTCTGTCTTCACGTGGTGTTGTATCCCTGGGCCGGAGCACAGGCCAGACGCCCGTAACAGAGGGTGGCCCGCACTTACCCCCGTGAATCCGGCCCGGATTCTGAAAGGACACGTTCAGCCACAAGTCACTTAGGCCGGAAGAAAGAGCAGCCGGTCCTGGGACAGACGGTGCCATGGCACAGGGTTGAGATGTCCAGGCACCGCAGAACGATGCACCCCTACGGGGCGAGTGGCGGCTGGCTCGGCGTCGGGGGAGGGCCACGCTGCCGGGAGTCGTTGGCCCTGGGAGGCTGTCTGCCCAGAGCGAGTGCCTTTTCGAATCTGCACAAAGGAGCCCCGTGTGCTAGCGGGCTAGCGGGGGCCCTGCTGCAAAGGTCAATCCCTTCCCTTGCTCTTTCTCCGTGATAACGGAATCATGACCGCCCTCTTGAGACTCCCTGCTGCTAGGTGCATCCGTGGGAAGTAAGCACGTTCGTCCTGCGCTGCGTCCCCTCTTCCTCTCTGTCCCTTCTTCATTAGCTCTATCTTGACCGAGTACTCAAGGACGCACAGCCTGATCGCACACGCTGGGGCCTGCTGGAAAGCGTGAACTGGAGAGAAGGTATGGAATCAGCAGCGGCAGCGGGTGCATGCGTCGCCTGCTGCATTTGTGTGGCAGTGCCCGGAGGGCTAGCGGGCCCTGGCATCAGGCTGAAGAGCAGGATCCCTACCCCTAGAGGGGTTTTAAGTTTGCCTCTCCCAGCAAGACCGGAGCTGGGGGGGGGGGGGGGTGACAGGACTTCCATCTCCGGTCCTGTCCCAGACGCTCAGATTCATGCTTAGGGAGCTCTGGCCCCTCGTCTGGCAAACCAGGGCTCCCAGTGCAAGCCTTGTAGACGTGGTTCCTGTGACACGGCAGAGGGGACCTGATTTGCGCCCCCGAGCACTCTGCTGTAGCAGTTTTCATGGAGCTTTGCAGGAAACCAAGAAGTGGTGACTCAGTCTTAACCAGACTTGTAGCCTGCAACTGTCACTCCTGACAGGTCTCCAAACACTAATCCAGGTGTCCCTCTGAAGGTATTTGGTAGGTGTGATTAGCAGCTATAAGCAGTTCGCTTTAAGGAAAGGAGATCATCCTTAATAATCTGGGTGGGCCCCATCCAATCAGTTGAAAGATCTTAGGAGCAAAACTGAAGAAGAATTTCTGCCCAAGAGTTTCCAGCCAGCTGGCCAGCCCACCAGATTTGAGATTTTCCCAGCTGGTTTCCATGACGGCAGAAGCAAATTCCGTGGAACACGCAAACACACGCTCACACACACACACACACACACACACACACTATCCTACTGGTTTGGTTTCTTAGGTAGAACCCTGATACAGAGTTCAAGTCCAACTTCTGCTTTTTCAGTGAATATTTTGGAGTTGGAGCATCTATCTTTGACCAGAATAACTATACATGGTAGAACACAACACAAAAAGATCCTGGGTTTCCTGATATCAAGGATATCATACAATCCTTAGACCATCTACCTTTGGATTTTGACACGGAAGAGACACAACATCCTACCTTGATTAAAGCCATTGTTTTTCGGGGCGCCTGGGTAGCACAGTCGGTTAAGCGTCCGACTTCAGCCAGGTCACGATCTCGCGGTCCGTGAGTTCGAGCCCCGCGTCGGGCTCTGGGCTGATGGCTCGGAGCCTGGAGCCTGTTTCCGATTCTGTGTCTCCCTCTCTCTCTGCCCCTCCCCCGTTCATGCTCTGTCTCTCTCTGTCCCCAAAATAAATAAACGTTAAAAAATTAAAAAAAAAATAAAGCCATTGTTATTCTTCTTTCATGGCCAGACTTAATCCTAAGTGACATGTATTTAATTGTGTGACTGGCATTTGACCAACAGATAAGGAGCAAGAACTCCTGGAGGCTGATGCCGTACCCAAGGTCAAACAACCAGCAAAGGGTAGGACCCAGTGCTTGCCTGTGGGGTTTGAAAGCCCACACCATTTCAACTACAATCTACAAAACCCAGAATTTCAAAGTCTTAGGCTTTTATAATGACCCCTTTATCATCTGGGGGAAGAAGCAATAGT